TTACTAACCTGTGTATATGTAATTTATTCAAAAATATATAAAACTAAAGAGATTGCTGCCAGAAAGCCCCTATAACAACATCCCATCATACCTCATCTTCCCACGCGCAACACCACTGTTTAGGAAGTGGTCCCTGAAGTTTACCTGCAGGGCCTCACTCAACTCTTCTACATTTTGTGGGCAACCCCTGACAGTTCTTTAATTCTTAGACTAACCACTGGCTGGCTTCAGAAGCCTCATGATATTTTGGCATTTCATCTAAATATGGAATTAAAAAATGAAAACTCCAAAAGAATGTTAAAAACAATGAGAAAAATTAAAAAATGTTTTAAATGTTCATTGAATACTCTATACTCAATGTGGAAATCCAGCTCCCACCTTTTGAAGGATTCTTGGGTGGAGGAGAGAGGAATGAGGAAATATTAGGTAGAAAGAAGATGATAAGAAGACAGAGACACAGGATAGCTTCAGGAGGGCCCTGGGTCAATACCCGGGTGCCCAGAGCTTTATTCAAAAGGGCTTTTTAGAATATGCCAAGGAGCGGGGCAAAAGACCTTTCCATTGCAAGATCAAAGCATACTGTACAGGCAAATGTAGACCCTTCCAAATACCTGGTAAACACACCCATGGCCAAATCATCTCCTTATGCAGCCCTGCTGGGTAAAGCAAGCTCAGATTCTCTGACCCTGAGTAATTTCTCACTAGGAAGTCTCTATGGGCCACCACAACTCAAGTCATGCAATAAGAACCTATCACTAAGCCAGGATTTTGTTTTATTCTTGTTTTGCATAAGAGGCCATAGAGAGGCCAGGAAAATAGAGATGTGCTCCCACTGTGAGAGGGCACAGCTTATGTTAGCCTCGGCAGAGCTCACTAATAGCATGGCAGTGTTTGAGTTTGGGGTAATGAGCAGGGACATACATACTGCCCGCTGGTACATTTGTTCCTGGGTGACCATGATGAGAACATGACAGACTCACCCGGGACTCTTATTTCTTATGAGCTTTGCAAATTGTTGAAACAGCATAGAGCAGACAAATTTAGCTGGGAATTTGGGACTTGCATCACTTAGGAAGGAATGAAATCAATAAGTCTAAGGCAAGATATTTTCATATGAGCTTTCTTGCTGCCTTCTGGATATTCTGCACATACATGGAGTTTGGGGTTCTACTCCTCTGGAGTCCCTGTTGACTGCCATGGAGTTTTAAAAATAATATAGTGTGTCTGAGCCCATCAAGTCTGCTAAAACAAAAGACCATAAATTGGGTGACTTGTAAACAGCAGAAACGACCTGCTCATGGAGCTCTGGAACTGGACATCTGGGCCAGGCTGCCAGCAGGGTTGGGTCTTTAGAGGCTGCTGTTTCTGGAGGTACACTGCTTCTGGTGTCCTCACATAGTGGAAAGAGGGCAAGACAGCAACCCTTCCCCCAAAGGCCCCACCCTCATGTGAGACCACCCAAAGCCTCACCTTCTAATACAATCATCTTAGGGAACAAGATTTCAATGTATTAGTTTCTGGAATACATGCATATTCACCCTACAACAGAAAAGTGAATATTTCCCCCAGTAGACTGTACAGTTTACAAGGCTGATAACCCTAAGGGAGCCAAGATTCGTGCACAGCAAATGAGCAGAACTATTTTACATGGCAACTTGGCAAAGGTTATCAATTTTCAAAATGTGCCTATCTATAACCTGGGGCTTGGTAATTTTGTTTCTAGAAATTTTTCCCGCAGAAACATTTCCTACAGCTAGGCAAACATAATGTGTGGGGTGCCTACTGTGCCTTACACTTTCTTTAGTGCTGTATTGTTGTATTTTGTTATAGGAAATAAAAACATAAAACACGCCATGCCTGCTTGTACAGACCTGTAAACCTTCTACTCTGGAGGCTGGGACTGGAAGCCCTGAGCATGGCCCCAGCCTGAGGTACATAATAAGAACCGGGTCAAAACAAAACAAGACAACATAAATGTTAATGAATGAAGCAATGATTAAACAAACTGTACTCGATCCATTCCATAGAATTATTTGTGCAAAATAAAGTAAGATGCATTAGTGTGATTTTATTAAAAAGGTTATTGCAGTTTTTATATGTAAATTTGTTAGTACCTCCTTTAGAAATATCTGGAATTTACCACTGACTGCCTTTGAGAAAGTCCATGTTTCATTTTTTGGAGTTTTATACTATCTTTTTATTTTATAGAAATAATGTTTCTAATTTTTGGTTGTTTTTTTTTTTAAATAGATGAAGAGTAGCCCATGTTGAGCTGGAACTCATAGACTTAACATGTTTTTTCTATAGTATATGTTGGATAAGAAGCTATGTTTCCAGTCTACAGCCACCAAGTGAATGATCTCATGTTACGCAGATAAACAAATGCTTGCTCATAAGATGCATGAGGCCACGTGAGATGAACTGATATACTTAGTGAAGATGATAAAGAGGTTCAATATGACTAACTGTCCCACAAATCCTGCAGCAAGGGAGATGGAGAGGTAAATAGCCTCGAAGCACAAGATGGCTTTGTAATATTTCACTCCGAACACTGTTGCAGTAAGATTAGTGTCGATGAGGAGACCGCTGGGGTTTAAGCCTCGCTTCAGAAGCAGGCCAGAGAAACATACATTCTTGTTCCACATGAGTTTATAGTTTATGTGCATTCTATGAACAGTCAGAGTCAGATTGTAACCTTAAACAGTGGATTAAGATCAAAGACAGAAGAAGAATGAGGGGCACAGGCAAGCTTTAAGGAAGTTGTTGGATGATTTTGTTGTTGTTTTGATCTATTTCTGATGTTTGGTTTTGTTGTTTGTTTTTGAGACGTGGTCTCATGGAGTCTAGGCTAGCCTTGATCTTCTTCCCGAGTATTTAGATGGAAGGCTTGGGCCACCATGACCAGCTGTTAGATGATTCTGTACAAAGCAAATGTCTCACACTGTGACTGGCCTGGCGGGACATCAGTTTCTCCTGCTGTGGTAGTAATTTCCTGGTTTCCAGTTGATTTGAGTTCGCTGCTCATGACTGTAGCCTATGGGGCCAGCATCCATGCTTTGCTTCCAGAAGATGGTAGTCAATGGGAAATCAGTGACTGCGTTACCATGGAGAGGTGAAGCCTTGTATTCCCAGCAGCTGGGCAACTGGGAGAAGGAGAAGTTGGACACCACTGGCCGTGCTCCTTGCCTTAGAACCAGGAAATCAATGAGCTCAAACTCTGATTACACTTGTGGATATCTCATCCAGTGTTAGAACCAAATATTGTCACCTGTAATTGCATTACATTAAAAAAAAATTGCTTCTGACAGCCTAGTGATTTCTGGATTATATTCCTTAGTTTCTCACACAGCCAAACCGGTGATATGCCTGTCCCTCCCAAGTAAGCATTCCAAAGGAATTCTGTGGACCTCTGGGAAGATCAGATGGTGTAAAGCCAGAGACAAAAGAGTCAAAGCCTCCAAGTCCCTCTTAGTTCCTAGTCTCAATCATTTTGCACAAGTGGGATATGGAACAAGACTTCGAAAAACAGTAAATTAAGCCTGAACTTGACTCTCGGGTTGGCAGTTAGGTAAAATTCCATCACATTTGAAGAGTTCTAAGCTAGCAATTTGTTACCCTTTATCCTTTAGCGGAATTGATGAACAGGTGGTTTGCAGAAGATCACCCAGTATATTTAGCTTCTGAAATTTGAGCAACTCAAGATCTGATTGGCTGCTCCCGCCACATGATAAGTTGGGAGCGCCGGCACCGGGGTGGCTTTTGCCTGGGCTTCTCAGGAGGGGAGAGCGGGGAGAGGATTTGCTGCTGGCCAGGGTTATTCGAATAGCTCGAAGGTAAGGCCTATTTATTGTCTTCTTCTGGATTGTTCTCCTGAGAGTAGGTTCCATGACTCCCCTTGAACTATTTTCCAAGGTTCTGAGTACCTAACTGGGGAAACAGCAATGGGACGTGGCTAGGAAGACCCCATTAGTCGTCGTTGTCACGGAGCGTGGAGATTCAACTCAGTCCTGCCCTCGCCAGTTATTGTTGGACCAAGGCGGCTGTCTAACACCAATTTTCTTTTTCATTTTTGTCCTAAATATATTCCTATGAAGAAGGCTCTATGGTCAGTGTTCCTATATTTATCTCGCCCTACAGAGCTTCCTTTGCCTCAGAAGGACCAGCAGCAGTTTCGCTAGCTTAACAAAACCAGCCACCCAGGGTATTGGTTTACAGTGGAGCGTCCCTAGGAGAAGGACAGCTGCTCCCAGACATCACCCGGCTTGTATGGCGCAGCCACTGTCTGGCATCAGGCCGAAAGGCCTTCAGCCTTTCCCCAGTTCCTGAATTAGAAATGTAGGCCAAAGACAGACAAGCAGACATGTACTTCAACCAATGCTTTAATTTTTTTCGTGTTTTTCAGGCTTGAACACGAGCTACAGAAGGGAAAAAATTACCCACGGAAACCGATGGTTTTTCCAAAGGAAATAACCCCATTGCCTTGAGGTTTCTACTTTTATTTTAAAATTTATGGACAGATTTATTCTACATGTTCTAATAATATAAGTGATATTGCATATAGTATTCTAGATCAAGGCAGAATACTAAGTTAGCCTTTCTAGGACTTGGGGTTTCTGAGGCACAATTCCAGCTCCTGAAAGACACACTAATGCTCCTTTTGCTAAAAAAAAATTTTGCTTGAAAATATTTTCTCTCTAAATGTTTGGTCATTTAAATTCTATCTCTTGAGTCCAAACTGCCTCACTTCCTTTTAAAACTAGAGCTGGAGGACCCCTGTATGGGTGTATGGGTAGCATTGCTCAGCGTATCACTGAGGGAGCCAGGAGGGGGAAGCCCTTTCTTTTATAATCTGTTTAAGTGCCCCTTAACCCTCAAAAATATATAATCACTTTGACTGTCTTGATTTTAAAATTCTTTTATGGTGTTATAATAAAATACTAATATATTTTCGTTTGTATGGAATATGGAAAGTTTGTAGGTACCACTACTACTCTGGAAAAATGGCGGATGAGGAAGAATATGAGGAGGTGATAGAGGTAAGAAGAAAGCCCAGTTGGCAGCAGAGCGCTTAGGTAGTGACAGCCAGAGCCTGTGGGGGAATCAGTCATTTGAAAGAACACATCATCTATTATAACTTCCCAAAGGGTCACCATCAAAGTGCGAGAAAGGTATATTTTATGTTCAGTTTCACAGTAAGGATGTGAGAGCTGAAGTGAAAGGGAATATCACTACTTCCCAGTTTTACTCTTTCTCAAACGCTCAAAAAAACCCTCATAAACAAACAGCAACAAACAAAAACCAAGGTGTGGGTGCGGGTAGGTTTTGTTTTTAAAACCGATGGCTTTCCCACCTCCCAACCTCAGTGATCAAAGGGCCCTGTGCATGCTTCCCAGCATCTGTACCAAGAGAGAGGGAACGGGCAGCTTCTCACTCTGCTTCAGTTAGTTGAATTGCATAGGGAGAGTGTGTTACACACAGGAACAGCCATCTGTGAGCTAGGCGTGCGTGCGTGCGTGCGTGCGTGCGTGCGTGTGTGTGTGTGTGTGTGTGTGCCCACGATCTAATAGACACATGTGTGGACTCATGAAGGTCACAGCAACAGCTGGAGCCTCTTTAACACCGATCCATCATAATTAAGCAAATAAACAAGACTAGCTTTTGAATCTTGACTGAGAACTAGGAACACAGCGGCTCTCTTGACAATATCCGCCCAGATCACTGATGGCTACCTGGCAGTTTTACAGAATTAATTGTGTTCCTCACATTAGAATCACATAGTTACAATCACAGTATTACTTTTCCTTATCAGCTCTTGCCTTTAGCTTTATGTTCTAGAGCAGAAACCCAAAGGCTTGCAGCTAATCCTTGGGAATACATTGCTATGAAACCGAAAATGCCCAGAAAGTTCCAATTAACCTAAATGGATAAAAATCTGTGTTCATTTTTAATGACTGCCCCAAACAAAACTTCAGATGAATGTGCCAAAATTTACCCTTGCTAATCAGTCTTTATATAGGCAATGAAAAAATTTTATTCTAGAAATAAAATTTCCTTTATTGCTGAAGCATATAAAAGCCAGAACGTATCTGACAGATGTAGTATTTAACCTCTCTGGCTTATATGCTGATGGCTACATCTTCTCATGGAGAGCGCCATCACTAATGAACATTTTAATGTAAGTTCCTAAAAGTCAGAACTATCCCTATTAAACACACTATAAATTAAGTTATAATTATGATTAATTTCTTTTCTATGGTGATAATAAAAGGAACACTTTCAAGCCTCCAGTTAAACTACCCCTTGCTGTTACTAAGTGTTCGTGTGATCTTGGCCACTGTGCTTAGTGTTAGCCTTGATTGAGTCTACTAGTCACAAAAATGGAAGGGGCTATTTTAGGCATTCCATCCTTGCCATTTTGTTCCCATTACTGCTTCGGGTCTGACCAGCAGGGGCCTCTCGGGGAGAGTTGAACCCGAGTCTCTTTGGTCTCAGAAAAGATCACAAGAATGGGGCGGTGACAAATTCAAGAGAAATGCCTTAAAAACAATAACCAGCCTCAAATGCATATCTCAGATACCTGAAATACAATTATACTGGCACTGTCTATACAGACTGAAATGTAGAAGGAGAAAGGAGCAATAACGCACAGCCTAATTAGCAACATAACTCTAAAAAAATAAGATTTAGCATTCAAGTTAATGCCAAGAACTTGGACAATGCTGCATTTTTTTTTTTGTGAGCTTATTTCCAAGATCGATTTCCCAATTGTGAGATCCAGTAAAGGTGAAACCGCACTGCTTGCCATAGCCACTTCTCCTGGGATGCTAAGAAAATCTAAAATCAATGGGGATCATTCATTGTAGTTTAATATTTCTTTGCAGGCTACTCAGGCTCTGACCAGGGGAATGGCTCCGCTTGCCCTCAGTGTCAAACAGTATTTCTTAAAGTGTCTAAATGGCCTTTGTCCTGTGCTGAAGTCACAGGGGTAAAAGAGCCCTCCTCTGTCCAGAGAGAGTGTGTGGTGCCTTTTGCTATATGGAAAGATACATACACACGAAAGTTAAATTTTAAATGGAAAGTAAGCGCAAGCTTAAGGGGCATTAAGTGAGCTTTATATAGTTCTAACCACGGTGAAGAGACTAGATGGCCCATGGCAATGAGAGCGTAGGAACCAAGGGCAAAAGGAAGTAGGGCACTGAGGAGGATTTTGCGTCGGTATACCCCTCCCTGCCCCCAACAGCTTTTCGGTGTCAGCGTAAAAGAAAAGAAGCATAAAATTCCACGCTTTTCTCCAACTGAGAAAAATGAGCCAAGAACTTCCTTTTTACCCCTCTCTTCTGTGTGCTGGCCTGCAGGAGCCACTCCCGCTGTGTGCCCAGCAGAGCTGGGGGAGGCTGGGGCAGGATTCCACTCTCCTTAGGCATCGGAGACAAAATGTCAGCCAGTTCCTCTCTGTATCTATTTATTGCTCGTGATGTCAGAGAACAACACTAAGAGTGGGTTTCAGATCCAGGCTGCAGGCCCAGTAGCAAACTCACCCCCCTGCAGTCTCTGGGGAGCCGTGCCCTGTCTCCTTCCTTCCCAGACCTTCACCAACTGTCACCTGAGCACCCCTCTTCCCTTCCCACAGATAGGCCTCCCCAGCTAAGCTAGTGAAATCACCTGGTGCTTCGGTGGAGGCAGGCAGGCAAGTGCCGAACTGGATGTAGGCTATCCTTTGTTGAAAAGGGGCAGCCATCACTCCAGAGGACTCTAAGGAGTCCGAGGGAGATGGGAATAACTGAGACGTGACTATTATTACAATTTTCCTCACGGTATGCTTCCCTTTTGTTTTATAATTAGTAAACAGCGAGTCCTATCATAGTTTCTCTTTCCACATAGAGCATCCTCGAGATAGTATTCCTGTGTTCTTTTCTAAGTAGATTCTCTCAAATACTGTGCCGGTTAGTTTTTGTCTACAAAATAGAACCGTCTGGGAAGAGGGAACCTCAATTGAGGAACTGCCTCCATCAGATTGTCTGGTAGGCAAGTCTGTGGGGGTGTTTTCTTGATTAATGATTGATGTGCAAGGGCCTAGTCCACTGTGAGCAGAGCCAGCCCTGGGCAGGTGGTCCTGAGTTGTAAAAGAAAGCAGTCTGAGAGATCGAGGGGAGCACACCAGTAAGTAGCGCTCCTCCATGGTTTGGCCCTCTGCTCCTGCTTGACTTCCTGCTCTGCCCTCCCCTGAGGATGGACTGTCAAGGGATATGTAAGCCAAATGCATCCTTTGCTCCCTTGGTTGCTTTTAGTTACGGAGTTTATCAGGGCAACAGAAAGCTAACCAGGATGGAAATTATAAGGGGCAAATGTTTCTTGCCCCAGGAAAATAGCTTCCAGTGCCAAGAGGTACCTCAGACCTTGCCTCACCTTGCTGGACACTTTGCATCTTTTTCTTAGATCCGACTCGTAGCTTTCCTCCACCTTCCTAAGTGACAGTAGCCCCAGAATATGAACAGGCCCTCACTCCTTCCTCCCTGCAGATATTCTAGTGCCAACTCAGCCCGGGAAGCCAGCTCACAGGTTCAGCGGAGGCAGGGGAGGGCTGACTGTTGGCTGCTCTACTAGCCACATTGACACTCCTGTGCTCTGTTTACAGTACTACACCGAGGAGACAGTTTACGAGGAGGTGCCCGGAGAGGTAAGACTCAGCCCACCCGCGCATGGTCTGATTCTCATCAGAGCCTCTTTCCTCTCTCATACTCCTGGCGCTGGAAAGATGGAGAAAGCGAAACTCACTTAGGAAGCTCACTCGCCTGCCTGTGCCCAGAAGCTGGTGGTAAAAGAACAGACCCTGCACTTGACAGGATAATTCACTTTTTTTTTTAATGTTCTGCTTATGCAAGAGGGCAAGGATTGATTCCCTGATGCACATTGTGGTATTTTTTTGTATAGATGGTATGAAGGAAGGTCGTTAACAGTGGCTGCCTCAGGTGACTTCTGAGTGGCACAGTCTAGCTGTTTAATTGCAGAGAATTATAACTTGTAGGGTTAGGTCTCAGCCACCAGGGTGCTACTACTGAGACATTGTCCCCAGTGACTTAGTGACAAGCCACTTTAGGAATCCTAAGAGAAGACATTTTTGTAACAGTTCCAATTTTGGAATCCCCCAACCCCACGCTTTATTTTCTGTGTGGAGTCGGTTCTCTTTGAGCCTGACAAGTACTGGTAAAAGTGGCAGACTGTGAAGTTGGCTCAAAGAGCCCATGACAGGATTAAAAACTGGCACTGGTGGTTTGATGGGGTTCTCATAGTCAGTCAGGCTTTAGTAATGGTAGGCAGAGTGCCGTCAATTCCAGTGGGGCTTGTCAGGTCTACGGTTGCCTTAGCGGGTTTCTCTTCCCCACACTGACGCTAGAATTCTGCCTTTGGGAGTGGAGGTCTTTGCCCTGAAGGACGAGATCTTACACAGTACATCGGAGCCCCTGCCTCTTGTCCTCTGTCCTTGTGGACCTACCATATTTCTATCCTTGGACTACATCCAAACTTTGAATCTTAGTTTTTCCGTGATAGCCGGCTGTGGGAAACAATGGTCCCCGCCGGCTGCATAGACAAGACTGTTGAGAGGACGATCGTCCACTGTGTTGTCACCCTTGTTCTGATCCCCAGTGTAAAGGGCAGTCTAGTGTGTACTGTAAATGGCAGTAATGAACTAATTCAAAAGACTAATACTTACAATACTGATGTGATGAGGTTTTGTTTTTGTCTCATATTATACAAGATGACTAATGCCTATAGAAAATGAAGCTGGTCTTTCTTATTTACTTAAAAGAAAATCAAGAATTTAAGCTTTATTTTTAATAACATTTTATTATTCAGTCTCATTTGCTTTTTCTTGATCTAGACACTTGGAAAGATTCTTATTGTTCGTTTTACTTTAACGGTGCTGGTGGTTCAACATAGAGGGCCTTGTACATGCTAAGCAAGTGCTCTACCACTGAGCTACAGCCTAACATCACTTAAGAAGACATGATTAAGACTATTTTACTTATGATTTTGTTTATACTCCATTGAGGTGTTCGACTAGCTCCCTGAAAATACAGTTTACAGATGATGTCACAATCATTATCCAGGCTGATGTGTGTTACATGCCTTCATATGGATGTACGGATATATATATCCGTACACACACACACACACACACACACACACACACACACACACACACACACACACAAATATATCTTCATGCTTTGGTTGGCTTTGTAAATGGAAAAGGAACATCAGGAAGGTCAATGTGACTGAAGTTACAACAGTGTACACCAAAGTCATGGTATTAGTGTTTACTTCATAACCACGTTTCATTTTCAGACAATTACAGAAGTCTATGAAACTACGACGACAAGAACATCTGACTATGGCCAATCAGAACCTTCCACACCAGCGCTGGTACAGCCACCACCAGCAAAACCGATGGAGCGGAAGAAGGTCATCCGGAAGAAGGTGGACTCTTCCAAGTTCATGACCCCCTACATTGAACACAGTCAGAAAATGCAGGATCTTTTCAGCCCAGTAAGTACTGAGCGCCACCTCCTATGCTGGTTAGATGATTGAGTAGTTACTGATCTTAGCCAACTCTGAGATGCTGGCTAATTTTGTTTCTCAGTCTTGTAGGAACACAAATATTTTGTAGAAATGTGTCTTTTGTGTGTGACTGTGGAATTTTTGAGTAATTCATCCGTGCCATTGCAGCACTGGGATAAACCCTTGTTGTTTCTGAAAGATATGCATAAGACTGATTATAAAACACTGGTTGCATAGCCAATCCAGAGCAATGAAAACACGAACGTGAATATTCTATTTCCTTATTTATTTACTGAAAGTCTATTCATAGAGGCTAAGTCACATGGTTAAACTGTGCCTGAGGGGAGCAACCTCTTAGAGTAGCCAGCAGTATAAAAGATTACTAAGTGGTGACGAGTGAAAGACTTGTAATTCAGAAAACCAAGCTCAGGCTAAACTCCTTTGAAACTGAGGAACAGAGTGTTTGAGGTTAGCCCAGAGCCAGGGTTTTAAGCATTGCTACACAGTAGAATCTCCCACAATACTTTAACCAACTAGTGCTCGGGGTTTTCTTGTTTAACTGGTTCAAGGCTCAGGCCTCTGCAAAAGAGGCTTTTAAAGCTGCACAGATGTTCTCACATGGACCCCAGACAGAGAATGATTGAAGAGTCAATGTTCTTTGCTTCTTACAGTCCCATGATAGTGGGACCGACAGTGACTGCCAGAAAGCCATATCTATTTCAGTAGATCTGATTTGTTGATTTCCATGATAGGCTAAGGTCTCTCCAGATAGCTTGATTGCATGTGTTCCGGAGGCTTGAAGAGGTGAATTATTATAGTTCAGGGGGGCATTGCATTATTCAGGATCAAAACTGTTGTCTGAAGCTTCCGTGTTGGTTGACATCCAAAGATTCAGTTTTGGTCGTGTTAACTCCTGGAGGTTAGGGAGTAAATTTCTAATTTGGATCCTTGAGTGAGCTAACATGTAGGATTCTAAACAGGACTTCCTTGCCTCCTTTCCACTGCAGTGTTCAAAATAAAGGCAAAATTATCTCATTAATTTATTGCCATATAATCTCATTAATTCAGCCATTATGAACCTAGAATTTCTGATATTCTGAGTGGAATGTTGGTACCCCTCCTCTCCCAGTTAGCCAGTGGTTGTGTCTGAATCAGCAGTTTAATGTAGGTTGTTGACTACTCACGAATATTCTTTAAGGCCTTGATAGTTATAAGTGATGCATACTATTACCAAAGCAAGGATCCGTTGGGGAGCTGGCAGAAGTAATAAATTTGCATATCATTATAAAATATTCCATAATTCAGGCTTTCCATTAATTCAGCTGGCATCACAGCTGTGTAGCCACTGCAGCTCAGCTGCAGCTTCTGAACTGAGTATTTTTGCATTGTATTAGCAATTACATCTTTTCAGAATCAACTCATCTTCTAGAATAATTGATATTCAGGCTTTTGTATATGTGTGCAACCAAAAAAGAAAAATCAAGAGAATTATTTTAGGGCATATCCAAGACAATTGTCTGTAACAAGTCTCCAGGATCCTAGCATGTTTTGGAGGAACAATTAAGGAATCTATTTTAGTTTTTGCTGAGAGGGTATGTGATAGAATGAAAGCTGTCGCAGCTGATAATTGTTATTACTTGGAGGATTTAAAGAAAAATCAGATGGGGATATGTGTGTTGCCTGAACTTTCTGCTGCTGTCTGGTCATGTTCCTGAAAAATATCTGGTATTCTTTTCAGAATAAATACAAAGAGAACTATGAGAAAGCAAAGGGACAGCCATATGCCATCACAAGTGATACTCCAGAACTTCGCAGAATCAAGAAAGTACAGGATCAACTCAGTGAGGTGGGCTTCATTCCTAAAGTAAAGGAGGGAAGTACTATGAAACTATGCCCAGCTCTGGGGTCCTGGGGTTCTAAATGTACGGGGAATAAGGAGTCACATTACTCTGAGCAAGTCCAGATATCTAGAATGGCATTAGCCATGAACTATGGTTGCTGCAAATGACCCAGAGAGACTTTGAAAAGCTTGGCTTAGCAATCCAAGAGGAGACTATTTTCCGACTCATGGTGGTCCTCCACACGGAGTACAGTGAGGCTGAGAAGCCTCAGGCTGGAAATTCAGCCAGCAGAGCAGACAAGTAGTAGTGCAGATGCTCTGCGGCTCTTCCTAGCTAAAATGCTTTGTGATACTGACATCCAGCCATTGGGCTATAGCAGGCTTAGATAAGTGTCCAGGCTTGTCATGAACTTCAGGCATGTGCTGTTTCTGCAGGTTAAGTATCGAATGGATGGAGATGTTGCCAAAACTATCTGTCATGTGGATGAAAAAGCAAAAGATATTGAACATGCAAAGAAAGTGTCGCAGCAAGTCAGCAAGGTACAGCCATGCTCTGGGTGGCACCGGGATACTCAAGAGCGTGTGCCACACCCTTTGCCATGTCTTAGAGGTGGATTGACAGCCACGAGCCTGCTCACAGAGGACTGACGTGGCCTGTGGATGGCTAGGGGTGGAATGAAGATTTCTTGACTTGCCTGAAGAGGCATTGGCTACTCTAATGGTGACAGGGGGAGGGGAATAGAGGAGGGGGCTGCCACAAGGAGTGCAGTCTTGATGTCTTGTTTATTTTTTTAAGGCATTTAGAAAGCATAATTTTTATGAAAAATTTCCAAATTTCAAATGTGGGCAGCTAATTAATAGAGTTCTAGAATATCATGCGAGACAAAAGAAAACTGAATTAATCGGCTGATGGCAACCTTTGAAAGAAATTGATTGAAAATCAGAATCAAAATATTTTTCAAATTTAGGTTTTTGGTGTTTTATTTGTTTGATTGTTTGTTTTGTTGTTTTTGTTTTTTGTGAAGGCTTCCTAATGCTAAGAAGGTGTCCTAGGATGTTGGCATGGTCAGCATTTTCCTAGTAACCCTTCTGCAGCTTTTGTGTGAGGCCATACCTTCGGTCCCGTCTACCCTCCAAGTCCTCCTGCCTGGGGTGACACATCAAGCCACAGTTTATCTGTTTTCTCTGTAGGTTTTATACAAGCAGAACTGGGAAGACACCAAGGATAAGTACCTGCTTCCCCCTGATGCCCCTGAACTTGTCCAAGCCATTAAGAACACAGCCATGTTCAGTAAGGTGAGGTCTAGCACTTTCTAATGTCTCACCGCACACTTAGAGCTGTATCTGCTGAACACTTGACAACTTGGAACAATTTCTTAGTGTTTGGGGGGAATATAGCCTTGGGATTGTACAGGGCTAGGACTTGACAAGGAGGCCCTTCAGATCCTGTTGAGGAGCATTCTTGGGCAGAATAGCCCAAAGTCCCTGGAGAACCTGAGCAACCCATGGATGGGAGCATAACATGGAGAGAGTTAAGACACTCCAGAGGACGGATGAGGACATTGACAAAGCTGTATTTTTTTTTTTAATGTCAGTTATGCTTTGGACACCCCTAGCTATCACTCTAATCAGAAGTTTATTTTATGACAGAAATTGGGGAAAATACAAACGTAACATGGATTGGATGGAAAGGGGGAGGTTGTCTGTGAATTTCACTGACATTGGCTTGCACCTTGCCCTTGGCGCCTCGTGTCATCAAAAAAACTCAAATTATATACTTACTATGAGGATAGCTTGTTTTCTCACTGCCGTTTTTGCTCTTTTCTGACTTAGAAACTGTACACTGAAGACTGGGAAGCAGACAAAGGGTTGTTTTATCCCTACAATGACAGTCCAGAACTGAGGAGGGTCGCCCAGGCCCAGAAAGCACTTAGTGATGTAAGTGGAATATACTTGATACCAACTGGATATGGGGTCAGGAAAGCTGGGACCAGGTCATTAGGTCCTTAACAACGATCCAATATTATTACAGAGACCACATCCAGAGCCAAAATCTATTATATATGTTTATATTAGCTACAGTTTACACTTCGTATTAGAGCTCATTTAGCGCAATCCCTTCTTTCTTTATGTAAGGAACCTAAGTTCGCATCAGTAATGGCAGAATCTAGACTTAAATTCCAAAACTGATGTTCTTCCCACCAAACCATGTATCATTTTCCTCCTTGGCTCTAGTGCTAAAGTTGTGTTGTGGTAATGGAGTGGCATTTTTTAAAAACAGCCATTGGAATCACATCCCTCCCTTTGCAAATTTACTAATCAAATGTTGTCACTTAGTGTTATTTAGCTCTGTCCCACAGTCCAAGTATGAATGGATGTTTCTCTCCTCTGCTTGGGGACTATGGAAACCTAAGAGAGCCTGGTGGTACCTTATGAAGAGGCCAAGTAATAAATAGCTACTTATTGAAAGTTTATTATATATGAATATCTAGCAGGATATGAAAGTTTCATCTTTTCCCTTGAAAGTATATTATCATACTGGCAGGATGATAGTGTTATATTTCAAACAAAATTAAAAAGAAACAGAATTGTTTAGCTATTGCTATGAGAAAAGACACATATAAGAAATGATAGAAGTTGGGCAGTGGTGGTGCATGCCTTTAATCCCAGCACTCAGGAGACAGAGGCAGGCGGATCTCTGTGAGTTCGAGGCCATCCTGGGCTACAGAGTGCGTTCCAGGAAAGGTGCCAAAGCTACTCAGAGAAACCCTGTCTTAAAAAACAAAAGAAAGAAAGAAAGAAAGAAAGAAAGAAAGAAAGAAAGAAAGAAAGAAAGAAAGAGAGAGAGAAAGAGAGAGAGAGAAAGAAAGAAAGAGAGAGAGAGAGAGAAAGAAAGAAAGAAAGAAAGAAAGAAAGAAAGAAAGAAAGAAAGAAAGAAAGAAGGAAAGAAAGAAATGATAGAAAGCTGGGCCATGATGAAAAACCACATTTCTGGTGCAGGAACACCTGGTGAAAAGGAAGGGGTGACATGAGTCTGGGGTGTTAGTGAACAATGAAAGTGGGTGGTTCATTTTCAGGGTGCTTATTAAATTGCTAGAAGCGGGGCCTTAAGAATCAACCTGACATAAAAGTTTGGGCATTAAGTCAGCACGAGATACACTTGAGGAAGACAATCTGGGGAAACTCAGTATGGTGAATTGCATCAAGGAAAAATTAGAAATCGTGAATATTCGTAGAGTCTAATTTAGCAGCATAGATGGAGCAAAGAAAAGAAAGGAATCTCATGGTAGTGAACATTAAGTGTTAATGACGTTGAACATTGAAGACAAAGGAAAGAAAGGAGTGATAACGTTTATTACCACACACAGGTGGTCTGGGGGCTTAAATGTATGCGACGTGGAGAAAGAAACAGACCTGAAATAACAGGGAAAACATTTGGACCAAGATATTCTATGGATAAAGTAGAGATTGAGGGTATGAGAGCCTCATGGTTGTGTGATAAGGATGGAACTTAATGTTTAAAAGTCATCCTAATAAATGTGATAGCTGAAGACAAGAACTGAGGGAAAGGGAAGAGTGTGTGGTCAAGGGCAGAGTCCTGGAGGACACTCAGCTGAAAGGAGCCAGCACAGATGAGGGAACAGAGAAGCTGAAACAGAATCTGGAAATGCCATGTCATGTTGGCCTAGGGAGAGGTGTCCAAGAAGACACACCTCCCTCCATCCATAAACAAGGAGTAAGAATTGTCTCCATACCACTTAAAGTTGGCTATGCTTTTATATCACAATAATAAACACAAGGAAACTTACAACAAAGAAGTAAAATCTCCACTCTTAACTTCGCAAAGCTTGGCAGTTAGGGAAGAGCTTTTATTTTTGCTGCTGACCAAGTATGCACGAGTATCACGTTACTACTGTGGCTATTAATACTATTGTTAGCAACATGAGCTTTTACAGTCAGTAGCTCAGAGACCAGGACAAGCTGTTGTCCACAGAACATGCCATGGTGTGGGCACATGGCCTTCAAGCCAGGGACTTCTGTTAGAGTCAACTGTTCTCTCTGTACCTTATTTCTGCATCTCTCTAAATACTATTTACCATGTTTTCCTGTTATTTAAATACAGACAAACAGTTTGCAGAGACTAACAATGCCTTTAAACTGATCTGGAGTGCAGAATTCTAACTAGACAGAAATCTGAGCATGGTTCCTAAAAAACAAGGACTTGGTGATCTGATTTCTCAGAAACTTTTTGACATCTTGTCATACTTAATAAGCATTTCTCCTGTTTGAGTGCATCTTTCTCCATAAGGACTTTCCCTAAGTCATGGAAAATCCCACTTGCTCTTTACCTAAAATAAAGCTTTTATGCACTCAAATTAAGCAGGGGAATTCATATGCATTATATGCTTTTTTAAAAATGTCTTTCATATCCCAGTTAATTTGATCATTTTCATGAAAGCTTTCGTTACACACACTAGATCAATATTATTAGGAGACGTTACACACACTAGATCAATATTATTAGGAGACGTACTTAGACCTGGTTAAGTATAATATGATTGTGGTCTTGAAATGAACCAATTCCTTTTTACTATAAAGAAGAATGCTGTCCTGTTGAAGGAAAGGTATTTTGTGATAGAAGAGTTGGGAAGATGACCTCCTAGTTCAGACTTCGGCTGGAGTCAGTCACCTACCCCTCCCTCTAGTTAGAAGATTCAGGAAGGCAGGAAGAAAGGAAAGAGAGGTGAAGGGAGTCTGTGATTTATGCATACCAGACTTCTTTTAAGATGGTGGAAGCTCTTACACACTGGAAGGAAGGAGGTCATGAAGGGGGAGAGATTGAAGCTGGGACACAGAGCAGGGACAAGGGCTGGAGCTTGGTTCAAAAGGTAAATGAGGGAGCGGCGGAGAGCTCAGGAGCCGTGCCCTGTGAGTACTGCTGTCTCCTGGAGCCAGAGCAGAAGGACAGGTACATTTTAAGTGGAAAGCCCCCTCTTTTCTCTACGAAAGAGAAAATCAGAGTAGGATAGAGTTGACTGAGGACTTACAGAAGTGTTGGAGTTGGGACCTGCTTCCGGGAACCGGGACACATCATGGGACGTTCAAGTTTCACTGAAAACAAAGTGGCCATTGGACATCAAAAAGTCATAGAGTGTTAGACACACAGCCCCAGGGAGGTCACAGTTCACAGAGCAGAAAACTGGATGGATGACCTATAGAGTTCCAGCTGGGTGTTTTGGCTTGAAGACTTCCTCCCATGAACCTTGTTCATATGTCCTTCTTAACCCCACTGGCAAGGTCAGCACTGTCCCATCAGTGAGTGTGTGTGTGATTTTCCTCTGAACCACTCAGCACCCCAGGCAAAGGAATAAAATAATATGAAGTTAAGTTGGTCCAGAAGTGGAGCTTGTTAAGTAGATATGAGGGAAAGACAAGGTTGAGAGTTGAGGATGCTAGAGAAAGGAAAACTTGACATTAGCAAGGATGGCGTGAAGACAGATGCGAAGAAACATGTCTAGGACCAAGAGGCAGGGCACACAAACCAAAGACAGTCATGGATAGACAGTGCAGGACCATTAAAGACTGGGAGAGAAAACACCGCCATTGTTAAAATGTGCCGACAAATGAGTGGAACATGAAAAATGGGGTTCCTTTTCAAATACTTATGGACATTCCTGCCTTTTATTTTTATCAGATTGCCTACAAAAAAGGACTCACTGAACAGCAAACTCAGTTCACATCCCTGCCTGATCCTCCTGATGTAGAATTTGCCAAGAAAGTAACCAACCAAGTGAGCAAGGTACGTGCATAGAGGAAACCTACTCGTTTTTTTTTTTTGTTTTTGTTTTTGTTTTTTTTTCCAGCCATTTGGGAGAGAAACTGATGGTGAACTTGAAAAAGAAACTCAAACACCAGCAGTATTTTTGCATATGCACCACCACCCCATCAAAAAGAAACCTTTTATACCAAAAACAGCACATGTGCCAACAGCATAAATGATGTCAGTGGTCAGGCAACTTGATGACTCAATTGAGTTTTAAATGTCACAGTCACCTCTTGATAAGAGAGCTTATGGCTTAGTGCCACTTGACATTTTAATTTCTGCAACAGACTCTTAGGTCACGGACTAACTCTACCCTTCTGTGGAGGCTGCGGTTGAACTCGTGGGGTGGGGAGAGGCCCTGTGCAGTTTCTACCCTCACACTCTCAGTCAGTTGTGAACACAGGAGACTGTGAGTGTGCGCTCAGACACAGACAGGGCAGCGGTGGGGCCAGCACTTCAGAGCTTTGAAGCCCCAGCAAGCTGCTTGTTTTGCCTATATTTAGCCAAATAAAGTAGCTCAGAAGGATGCAGCTGTGGCAAGGAATGCAGAGAGACAAGTGTTTGACTGGTATGCAGGGCGAGCTAAATCCTGTGTAAATCAGTCCAGTCAGGGAGCTTTCTCTGGGACTGGCTGCTTTTTTTTCCTCCACACCCTCACTCCCACCCCCCTTAAAGTCAAGACTCAGTTTGGTCTTCTGCTTCAATTTTGACTGAACTTCAGGGTTCTTATTTTTTTGTTTTTTTTTTTTTTGTTTTTTTTGGTAGAGTTGGGCTCTTTAATAGAGGAGAAGGAAGGAAAGATATAAATGATGAGATCTGTTCTGCAGTGTTTCCAGCTTCTCATTCTGCAGAATACTTCATGTAAAACCCAGGGGCTGGGTAAGAATAGTACAATTAATGAGAATACTAGCGACCTACTCTTTCCTCCAGGGCTGGCCAGCGATTAACTGAGGACTGTGCCTAATGGAATGGCTACTGGGTGTGTTCACAGCGGGGGTGGGGGTGGGGATGGAACAGAAAGATAGTTTAACTCTGGGAGAAGTTGTTGTGTTTAAGGGGTCATTTAAAATGAATCTATTTTTGATTTTTATTTAAAGAATGTCTCAACTCAGATAGAGCTCTTTTTTCTCTCATTTGAGCATGCAGTGTGGAGATCTGAAAGTGATTTTTAAATGTCAAACTTCTCTGTGGTCACTCCTCCCAACGATTTAGACTTGAAGGTGAAACTCAAGTTGTGTTTCCTAGTGTAGCCCTTAGACAAACCTGACAGCCAAGCACTTCAAATGAGAGTCTTAGTGAATTTGGACTCCTACAACAAGATATCATATGTAGAGTATCTTAAACAGAAGGCTTTGGCTTCTCAAAGTCCCAGAAAATGGAAAGTCAAAAGGAAGTGCCATCACTTTAGGAGCTAAGGATTCTGCATATGAATTGGAAGGGGGGCATACATGTATCCATTTCCCAAAGCCTGAGAGTCTTACACATGAGAATCCATAGAGTGGATTTTAAATGCTTACTATGAAAAGAAAAAGAATATAAAATAGCTCATCATTTTTATGCCAATTGCATGTTAGAATGGTAGTGCTTTGAGTCTACTGGGTTAAGTAAAATATATTCAAGTTAACTTCCCACCTGTCCCTTTGCACCTTAAGAAATATGGCTTCTGGAATAGTTTTCATGTTAGGTATGTTGGACTGCACACTGGTTAGATAGGGTAACACACTGTTGGATATGTGGAAAGATTTGCCAACCTGTTTTTGACCTTGTATAATAATATGAGCTGAGGGAGAGTGGCTGTAGTTGAAGATCACTGAATTTGGCCACGGTGACATAATTTATCCTAGTCTTACCCAGATTCCAAGTTCTCAGTGTCTATTGTGCATCAAAAATACCAGCCTATCTGGAGAGAAGCATTGTGCATGGTAGCCAATCCATCCAGCAACCAGGCATCCAACCACAGAGGCCCAGACAGCCAAGGGCAACTTCTCTGTGGTGCTCCCCTCCTCCTCAAATCTTCCCCCACCCCAGCCCAGTCCCACGTCAAGCTACTTGGATCTGCATCATCCATCATCATCACCATATCCTCTTTTCCCCACCCCAAAGAGGTTAGAAATGCCTCCTTCATTGTCTCACTTTCAGACATTTAAACTCTTGACATAGCCTTGCCAACTGTGTCTTCCATGTCCGGTGTTTGTCTTACAGCTTCCTGTTCAGCTGGTAAAGATCACATGTTTGGCAATGGTTGTGTTGACATTACATTCTCATACTAGCCTTTTCAGAATACATTTTCTTGCCTTTGTCTTTGCCAAAATCCCGAGCTTCATGTCAGCACCCTTTCCAGACTCAGGCGTGCTTTGTGACTCTAACTGAGATGGACTAGGAGAGTTGCTCTTCTAAGAGATAGTCTAGGTGAGGGAACAGGCTCACCATGATCCGAAAGTGGATTCTGCACACACACTGGAAAGTCTCTTTGGTTTCTCTGTGCCTTTTTGCTTCCCTCCAGTAATTTCCAGTGGAATCTAGAATGCTTAAAAAAGTATGTCTTGCAGTGACACATTGTTAGAGAGCATGGAGCCCTGATCTTCTGAAATCTTCTATTGCATAGAATTAGGGAGAGTCCTGTGGATTTCACCGTGAGGCACTTAATCAAGTCTTGAAAGCAACTCTAGACCAACTGTGGCCAATAAAAACCCCAGTCACGATGCCCCACACACTCTGAAAGATAACTTCGCTGTGAACGGAGCTGGCAGGTGGCTCAGTGTTGAGCTCCTCAGAAAAGAAGAAATGTGATTAACTCAGTTCATTTTCTTCCCATTTGATAACCACATAAAAACTGCAGGTGCCGATCTAGACAGTGGAAAATTAAGTCATGAGTTTAAGCAAGACACTAGGGAGCCTAATTTGTAGCCCCGTGCCCTCAGCTGATGGGTGGTTAGGAGGGCCTACGGTTCAGGGAAGCAACCGCTGTGCCTACTGGCATGTGGTCACCTCCCCCGACAAAGTCTGTCCAGAGCTCGGACCTGACCCAATATACTTTTCTCTGTTAAGTGAAAGTTCCAGGGAAAGTTACGTCAGATCTTTCCTCCAGGCTGTCATTGATCAACTCCGGGTGCAGCAGAGTAGGAGGGAAGTTTAAGGAGAAAGCTTCAGGATCAGACAGAAAGTTGGATGTTGAACTCTTGATATGGGGGAGTCTTCCCACATGGACACTGCCTGCCTTTTCCTCCACTCTCCTAGTTAGAAACCTGTCCCTTTAACCCCCTTGCTACCTGTGCATACAGGGGAACAAGGGTACCCTCCTCAGCAGTTAGCCAGCCACCTCTCCTCCCATGCAGTGGAACCCCGTACCAACATAGGAGGACTTGGGAGTAGATCACTGTGAGTGATCAGTCCCCAGCCAGACCTGTTGCAGGAGGAAATAGCAAACTTTTATTCCTGGAGGGTCAGAAGGGAGGAAGGACTTGGGATGAGGCATCTGGGTGGTTCTGTACTCGGCTCTTCTCCAACTATCTTCTTAAAAACCCGTGTCTACCATTGTTGTGAGACTTACACACTTACCCAGTCTCCTTAGTAAAGCCACACACACAAGGGTTGGCCAGTAAGAGTATCTGCTGCCTTTCAACTTGATATTACAACAAAGATCTCTGTATCTTGGCTTTGAGATGCGCCAAGTTTAGTTCCTTGGCCCAAAGTCCGGAGCTCCCTGGGTTTCTCTGCGTGGAGGCACAGAACCCCATGAAGACTTAGATGCTGGGAGACTGAAAGCTGAGATGAGGGCGCATCAAGAACTTCTGACACACTGCTTTGTTCTTCGCTTTTTATTTTTAGATATTTTTATTGTTTGGTTTGGTTTGGTTTGTTTTTTTTTTTTTTTGAGACAGAATCTTACTATGAAACCCAGGCTGGTTTTGACAAGGTTCTCTTGCCTCAGTCTTCCAAAGTGCCTTTTTTACAGGCTATCTACCACCATGTCCAAATTGAACTTCTGAAGCTTTAATGTTTATGGGTACTTTATTCGTTTATCAAACTCACCTATCCCCCCCAAAAGATTAGAAGTACTTCTACAGGCAATCTTGACAAGTCCCCAAGTGGAAGTGGAAGTTTTTGTCCTGTAAGCTGCTCCCAAGTAACTGTCAAAAAGATTAAATATTAATTATAAATGCTTGGTTGGTAACTCAGGCTTGTTACTAGCTAGCTCTTACACTTAAATTAACCCATATTTCTTATCTATGCTTTGCCACATGGCATGTTACCTTTTCTCAGTATGGCATGCCCATCTTGCTCTCTTTGTGTCTGTCGGTGACTCCTTTGACTCTGCCCTTCTTCATCCCAGCATCCTTAGTTTGGTCATCCTGCCTATACTTCCTGCCTGTCTATCGGCCAGTCAGCTTTTTATTAAACCAATCCAAGTGACAAATCTTTATAGTATAAAGAGGATTATTCCATAGTACCCAAGTCAGTTCATTTCAGTTTTGTATTGGGGAGGTATTCAACAGAGGATGTGTCTTAGTTAGGATTTCTATTCCTGTGAAGGGATACTATTACTATGGCAATTCTTAATAAAGAAAACATTTAATTGGGGCTGGCTTATAGTTTCAGAGATTTAGTCCATTATCATCATGATGGGAAGCATGGTGACATGCAGACAGATATGGTGCTGGAGAGGTAGCTGTAAGTTCTACATCTGGATTGGCAGGCAGCTGGAAGAGAGAGTGACACTGGGCCTAGCTTGAATACCTAAAACCTCAAAGCCTGCCCCCAGTGACACACTTCCTCCAACAAGGCCACACCTCCTAATAGTGCCACTCCCTATGAGCCTCCGGGGGCCATTTTCATTGAAAACCACCACAGGAGGGTAGCTAAATTAGTAGTCCAATTCAGATTTTGTTGTTCTGTTTTGTCTGTTGAGGTAGGATCTTTCCAGGTAGCCCAGGATGGCTCAATCTCAAGATCCTCCTGCGTCTGCCTCCTCAGTATACAAGGCAGATCTGAGTCTCAGCAGAATTCAGTTTCTCCTTCTGTCTGTCTGCCTCTCTCTTGTTACACATACAATTTTTCTCTAGTTTCTTTATGATAATAGTTGTTATTATTATAATTACTACACCATACATTTATTTAGTGCTGTAGATACATAAAGCATCTTTAGCATCTGATCTTGTTCCATCTTTCTAGTAGTGTTCTGTATAGAATACTGCAGTCCTTGGGGTTGAGAGACTTGAAGTGTTAATGCACTAAGTCAAACCTTTGGTAATGACACTGTCCAATCTTGGGCACTAAAGGTCCAGAGATCTAAAATGGAGAGCTATAAAAACTGCTGCTAATAATTAGCACATTAACCATTGTGAAAACAGAAAATAGGACATTAGGGGAAAGCTGTACTTCCTTTTACTCTGTCACTTTAGTTCTATACATGAGAGCTAATGGTATAACAGAGAAGGGCTTTACATTTCCATGAAGGGTGTGGCGAAGGTAGAGGTGCATACAGGCCACTTGAGAGTCAGTGATGATGTCTTTAGCATAGCGCTATGAGCCAAGGAGGAGAATTGCTCTAACCCTGCCCTGGCTTTGCTGCATGGGCCCAGATCTGGGATAGGCTAGGTTAATTCTGTTCCAAGAACACATGGGCCAAGATAGTTCACAACAACATACCTTGGGTCAGTTATGAGGTAACTTCTACACACCACATTTTGGGTTAGATTCTGAGTCCCTAGAATCAGCAAGGAGAGATAGTCTTCTCCTTGTCTTTCTTTATTTATTCCCCTTAAGTCAGCTTTTTTTGCTGGGTAAGGTAACTACACTGCAAGATTTCTTGGAGATAATTTTGAGGACCTAACATGAACCTGGTGAAGATATTTAATATCATACTATTGCTCAATTCCTATTTGTCAACTCTTGAATTTTGTTCTCGTTTAATTTCTTTTCTTTCTGCCCCCAGCAAAAATATAAAGAAGACTATGAAAAGAAAGTCAAAGGAAAATGGAGTGAGACACCCTGCTTTGAGATTGCAACAGCCAGAATGAACGCTGATAATCTCAGCTCAGTAAGTAGGGAGCAAGGGCCAGATGTCCTGGGAGGGGACCCCTTTCTTTGACAACTTCCAACTGCTTGCAACATCTCAAGGAATTCTAGAATGCTAGATACTGTTTTGACTGAGTTCCATGATTTCTACCTCAATTTTCATAGGAATAACCTGGTGAGACCCTCTTACTAATTACAAAGTGCAATTACCGTGAGTTTTAAGAGGCTCTTTTTAGTTGTATTCTTTGACTGCTGAACAAAATTGTACATTTAAAGCACTGATTGATTTAATTTCTTTTCACTGGGAAACAGAAATCTAATTCTTTTCCATTCTTGTGCTCTGGCTCTCCAGAGCTCTTTCTCGGTGGCCCGAAAGGCTGTGCCTTTCCGGTTGTTCTCCTGGCCTGTTCTAAGTGTCCAGATCTCTGTTAAGCTGATAAGCATTTTGGCAATGCCACCACATTCTCCAATTGCAACCTGACCGGCCTCAACCAAGGGGTGGGGTGTAGACGTGAGGAGTTCTGCCCAGTACCCTCTGTCCTGGAAGCTTGTCTCCACAGCTCTTCTCTGGTGTCTTCACTATCTCACAGAGGAAGTATCAGGAAGACTTCGAGAACATAAAAGACCAGATCTACTTCATGCAGACGGAAACACCTGAGTATAAAATGAATAAACAGGCTGGAGTTGCAGCTAGCAAGGTATAAATGAAGACCTTTTCCCATTTCTTCGTGTCTGTAGTGGGGTGAACTTCTCCTAACTCTGGCTCTCATATCTAATGAAAAAAAAGGTGGTGGGTAGATTCTTAGGGAAATTACTGAAGTTGAGACCAGTGGGAAGTAGAATGCCTAAAAACAGTTTTTAAAAGTTATCTTGGAATTACAATAGGAGCACCTAATCACCATTTTCATTATTTCATGGAGTGAAGGGCTGTTTGCTGGCCAGAAGCATGACAGTAATCATCTCAGCTAGCAGAACTTCCATCGGAAAAAAAAATTGGCAGCTTTATATGAAGCCACATGCTTCACAGTCAATACTGTCACTAGTCTTGTGTTCTTACTGATGGATGAAAAACCTAGTCACAAATAAGACTAGAAGTCCATGGACATCTTCATATGCCCTGTAGAGTGACTTTGATAAACGGGTTATGCTTTGACATTTCAAAGTGGTATGGTTTTTATAAAAAGCATAAACTTCAAGGTCAAGTAAATTTGTTGGATCCTGGCCTTTCCCAGAGCCCTGGTTCTGCCAGAGGAGAGGAAATAGGACTCCATCACTTAGAAAGTGTAAGACAGTGGTGTTTTGGACCAGGTTACCAGCAGGGCAAGGAATGAGAAATATTTAGGAAGTGGAGCACACTCGATTTGGTGAAGGATTGGATATGAGATATGAGAAAAAGCTTTCAGTCTAAGCAGCCAGTTGGATAGGATTTCCCTTGAAGGATACAGGGAAGATTACCGAAAGAGAAAGTGATTCTTAGGGGCTTGAAACAGGAGTTCATCTTCAAACATGTTAGGTTTCAGATACTTTTTAGATGCTCAGGTGGAAATAACAAGTTGGGTTGATTTATGAGTCTGGAGGTTCAAAAAATGTCTGCAGGAATTTTATATAAAATTGGGGGACATAAGTGTGTGGAAAGTAATGTCATGAGACTGGACAGCACAAAGGTAGAGTGGGTGGACATCTCCACCGACTGAACCCTGACATGCTCCCAGGTGAGACGGGAGCACAGTTGAGAGGTAGCAGGAGTGTGTAGTAGAGCAGGTGAAAGGGGAGAATGGCGTTATCACTTGTCACAAGTGTTTCTACCTGGAGAGTCACTGACAGCCCAAAGAACAAGTTGGTTGAGTTTGCTTAGAGAGGGCTTATGACTGAATAATAGAGAAGAAACCACTGGAGCTCAGAGTATACTAAGCTCTTTCAATAATTTTCCCAAAGGAAAAGAGATGGTAGCTGGTGGGAAAGACTGTGATAAGGAATGTTTTAAGATAGAACAGACAATGCTGTGCTGCTATACTGATGGGAAAATCCAATAGAGAGGTAACACTGAGCTGAGGCTGAGAGAAAACTGCTGGGTTGATGCCCTTGAAGGAGGGGAGATCTGGTCTGTAAGAGGAGGGATGACATTGTCATAAACCCTAACAGTTCTACCATACGACAGAGGCAGGTGGCATGGTAGGATTGGGGACTGTCCTTTCTGCTCAGTTCTGGTTTTCGAGGGAGTTTATAATTCCATGAGGTAGAAAGGTTGTGCAGGTCTCCCATGCGTATAGAGCCTGTGGAGTTGCCCCTGTGGTACTCTGGGTAGGCAGTAGGGTTGACACATCTGGGTTTCAGTTGTACGGCATCACCTGTCATTGTCTACTAAGTGGATTGGCCTTGTTTTGTAAAGCTAGTAGAGGCAGTGAATTATTTAGGATCCCTCAGACTTCAGTGGTTACACTTCCCAAATACAAGTCAGACTAGAGATCATGGTCTGACTCAAGACCATGCTGTTCTGCTCACGGTGGACATATTCCTTATCAGAGTTTTTGATTTCCCCACCCCCAAACGTACAGCTCCTGCCGTGGTTGGAATTTAAAGTACAAGGCGGGAAGAGAGAGGAAAGCTGAGGTTTCCACCATTCATCCCACTGACTCATTTTTCTCCTGCCTGTATATGAAATCCGTGCTCGCTCAAACATGGCTCTAGAAAAGGCATAAACGCGGAGTTGGTGATGCTCCTAGAGTCTTGTCTTTAGGATGTACAGGCAGATGGCAGCTGGAAGTGAGAAGCTGAGGGAAGGCTCTACAGGAGCAGACATCTGGGGCACGATGTGCTGTCACAATTTGTGTCTCTCTTTTTCCCCCAATATTTATGTGTCTTTCTCCTTCCGAGGACAGAGACCATATGTTGTTCTTTTTTGTGTCTTTCCCAAAGCCAGGCACATAATCAACTCCCTCTGATATTTTTGAATGAATAAAATGAATGAAAAGAAAAAGGTTCCTGGAAATTCATGCAGTTTCTGTACTGCTGCTAGGACTTACTATGGGTATTGTGGTGATAAAATGTCAAGCTGCCGTTTTTCTAAAGAGGAAATTGATTTGTGGAATCATGTCATAATCGCTATAATGGGGAAAAGGACAAAAATAACCCGTGGAGTTACTTTATTATTTTATTTCATCCCACAGGTAAAATACAAAGAAGACTACGAGAAGAATAAAGCGAAAGCTGACTATAATGTACTTCCTGCTTCAGAGAACCCACTGCTCAGGCAGCTGAAGGCAGCAGGAAACGTCCTCAGCGATGTAAGTCAACTGTCTTCACAAATGTTTTTAAACCTTAACCTTGCGAGAGATGGAATCTTCCTCCTTGTGTGATACCTGTATTTCTGTATAGCTTTGCTAATGTTTTAATGTTATGGAGGAGGAGTCACTCAGAGTTGACTAGCCGTAGAAGGCTAAGTGTCTCTAAACATAACATGCCTTACTGTCTGCAGCCAGTGGAATGAGTTCAAAGGGCAGGGAAGTCCTCATCTGCTTAGAAGATTCCAGAATCTGGGCTTCCTTGTGGGCATGGAACACATTGTGCTGGGTTTCTGAACACGCAAAAGGAGACTTTCAAAAACAGAGCTACCACCTGAAACTATCATCTGCAGACACTGAACTCAGAAAATGCCTCCTGACATGTTCCCTGCCTGCTTCTACCTGGAGAATTGTTAAGAGCCTGAGTAAGGGACTGGAGAGATGGCTCAGAGGTTAAGAGTACTGGCTTCTCTTTCAGAGGTCCTGAGTTCAATTCCCAGCAACCACATGGTGGTGGCTCACACCATCTGTAATGAGATCTAGTGCCCTCTTCTGGTGTGCAGGCATACATGCAGGCAGAACATTGTATACATAATAAATAAATAAATCTTGCCGGGCGGTGGTGGCGCACGCCTTTAATCCCAGCACTCGGGAGGCAGAGGCAGGTGGATCTCTGTGAGTTCGAGGCCAGCCTGGTCTACAAAGTGAGTTCCAGGAAAGGCGCAAAACTACACAGAGAAACCCTGTCTTGAAAACCAAAAAATAAATAAATAAATAAATAAATAAATAAATAAATAAATAAATAAATAAATCTTTAAAAAAAAATAAAGCACTTGATGCTTTAAAAAAAAAAGACCCCAAGTAAGCTACTGGAATTGAAATAGATAAAGTAAGCCAGAGCCTTGTATTAAAAGACTAAAGGTCCAAGATCAATTTACCAATTTGACTAAATACACACACACACACACACACACACACACACACACACACACACACACACACACACACACACACACAAATATATATACATGTACAACAAACACAGGAAATACACACATACGCAACAAACACGCAGGTTAAATGTGTGATGATTTGAGGTTTTAGACAGACAGATTACATTAAACTTTTTCCAAGATTCAAAGATTTTACATAGCTCTCTGACTAGGTCAGTTAATGCTTCCCTACCCTTGAACCACATCAGCATGGTGGGGAATGTGTGCATGTTTCTAAGGAGTGGGAGGGCAAGGGAGAGGGGCTTAATTCATCTCTCCAAATTGCTCTGCTGTAACTTCAACACTAAATGCTTCTGTTTTCCCAGTGAAGGGTATGTTTATCAAACAAACCATCTTAGACTCAAATCTACTGTTGCCAGAATCAGGAATGTCTTACAAAGGAATAGAATTATTGACGTTTTGAAAACCCAACATGAAAAATTGGTGACAGTCTGCTGTCTCGGCCATGCAGTTGAAACAATCATTGACTGATTTTTGTTGTTTTAGGGCTAAATATAAATGCTAGCAGTGAAGGAGAGCTAGTGATGACCCGTGTGTGTTCATATGGGTCTTATTCTAGTTCTAATTCAAGTTCGCATATGGGTCTTATTTTTTAAGCATAATTGTGTATTTTTTCAACTTACTTTTTTATGAAAGTTTATTTGAAAAATAATAAAGCTAAATAGCCTGCCATTATCATAGCCTCTGTGTACTTGGAGCGCAGTCAGTGAGAGTGTAAGTGTGCTTAGAGAGAAAGAGAGAGAGAGAGAGACAGAGAGAGACAGAGACAGAGACAGACAGAGAGAGAGAGAGAGAGAGAGAGAGAGAGAGAGAGAGAGAGAGAGAGACCAGCTCAGAGGCATGGACCTGCTACCAAGGCTCAGCTAGAGGTAGCATGTTGGCTTCTGAAGTTTTTGAAATGTTAAAAACTCGCCTTTTACAATCATTGCTAACAATGCCATGACACGGAGTGTTTGACTGTCAGTTTCTGAAGCAGTTGACAGGTGGCATCTTTTCTTCTTCTTTTGTTTGGTGTTGGAAAATCTGAGCGTTATAATCAGTGTGGGAGTGACAGGATCTATTTTAACTGATTTTCCCCCCTTTGGCAGAAACTATACAAGGAAAATTATGAGAAGACAAAGGCCAAGAGCATAAATTACTGTGAGACCCCCAAGTTCCAGCTTGATTCCGTACTGCAGAATTTCAGTAGTGATGTAAGTGACCACACTGTCGCCCATTCTGTTTAAAAGCTCTCTTATTTAATAAGCCGATGATCAATTAATAAATGAGGTACATTTTGTCTTTCAGACTAAATATAGAGATTCCTACCTAAAGAATATTTTGGGACACTACGTAGGCAGCTTTGAGGACCCGTATCACACACATTGTATGAAAGTGACGGCCCAAAATAGTGACGTAAGTCCTAAGGCT